AAATAGAGAAAATGTAATCACTGATATCACATTGCAAAAGGATAGCAATGTCAGAAATCAAAGTTTACAGAAATAGTAGTAATGGATAAGTTTGAACCTATTATCATTGTTATCACCATCAACTGCAGTGAATACTAAAACTCTTGAAAACTTCGTCAAAACCAATGCTACGGAATTTGGTAACCAATTAAATGGAAACAGCTGAAGTATTTGTTGAAATTAATATTCCACTTTCAAGGAATGGGTGAAAATGATGTGCGATAAAAGTTAGTTCACATATATATTATATATATACTTAATAAAATAAAAATTACATTAACGAGTAATCTAATATAAAACACAATACATTAATAATATAACTACAAAATATAATATAAATAATATGAAACAATAATAAATATAAAATAACAATATAAAGTATAACACATTTTAATTGAAACAAAAAAACTGTATGAAACTTTACGCCGAATGAGTAGTCTTCTCATATCTTTTGCATTGAATAGTATGAAACATATTTTGTATATTTATAAAAAGCTTCATTCTGTCTCCTTCAAAACTTTATCAATTTTAGTTAATAGAATATTAGACTTTAAATGCAGCGGATTTTAGTGCTGCGTGGCTTTCCATAGATCTTACAGTATGATGAAAAATGCTTCATTCAAATATCATTTCATAACAAATTTGAGTTTCAGCGAAAAATGTAGAAGAAAGTTTGACAGACCAAATTTTTTCTTTTTTGAAACTGCTAAAACAAGAAGAGACAAAAGGAAGAACTGAGACTGAGGTTATAAAGTTCCGATATGTCAAACATAACAACTATAAAATTCAAAAAAAAAAGTACACGATATAATCATTCCAGCAAGAATCTCTTTCATGGGACTTAATGTCAGAATTTTCTATACATACATACTGAAGTGAAAATATACTAAAATTGGAAGCATTGCTTCAGATACAATCGAACGTTAACCAATAAAAGATATCCTTAATCTGATCTGTTTGTTTGTTACTAGAAAAAAGCATGTTCCATTGTTCTAATAATGATACTGAGGAGAAATTTGATTGAAACCATTGAAAGTTCTTATGAATTATAATATAGCGATGTTCTGGAAGGAAGTAAATTAACGTGAAATCATAATTATGAGTGGAATTGCCGTTATGGTACATTGGTACTGATCTTTGGATGCATAATTTAACTAAAAATGCTGAAAAAAACTCATCCACTAAAAGCATAATTTATGAAAAATTGCCAGCTTTGACCATTTGAATGATGTCAGAGTTTGCTGCAGCTATTAAATTGCTATAAGCATATGTATAACTCAGTAATGATATAAAATATTTTTAAATTGGACTGGTAAATTTAGAAATGTGTAAGATTGTTCTTTCACTTACTGAAATTATCAACTGGAAAGATTAATTGATCTGTGACAAAACTATTTTCAAATGATATTATTACATTCATCAGTAAAATTTAATATTTATTTTTACAGATCGCAATTATGAAAAATAATTCAGCACAGAATAATTCAAATAAATTAAAAATTTTGTGATTTCTGTGATATTTGATGGAAAATAATTAAATTTGAAGTGTTGAATTGTGCTTCAAATTCCAGTTTGCCTTTATGCAAATGCTGAGGAATTGGTTTCTAAATGGATGACAGCATTATCATTTGTCTTTGCTGCTAATTACTATTGTTATCATTTAAGCAATAAATAAATGAATAAATGCAAAATAGTTCGTGAATTATGGATTGATAGGATGAATTTTATATATGACATTAAGCTGAATGCCGTAGAATGAAGTAGAAATTCCACAGGGATTATGAAGATCGGAAGAAAATGGGTGGAAGAAGGAAGAGAATGTGATGGCGAATTATCGTTTTCAGTTTAAAACTAACTAACACAGAGTTGAGAGTATCTAGCTTCTAAGATAAGCAATTTTAATATTTCAAAAACATAACCTTCAAATACATTTGTCCTATAAAAAACACAAAGCAACTGTCATTGTAAGCTGTTACTTGAAACAAAAACTATTTTCAGCTCCATAATGGACAACACCGCCATTTGCCAATGAAGAGTGGATTTTTTTCTTCTCAATTCACTGTCCTACTGACATTGAGTTGTATAACCATTAGTGAGAAGCTTAAGTGACTGATTCAGATTTGATAAGAAAAATTGATATGAATTAGAACTGAATAAATCATGCAATAAGAAATTGTTAGATGAATATAGTAGAAGTTATATTTCCAGAGAGAGAAAGAAATGTCATTTGGTTCAGCGGAAAAAATTCCAGGTTTGAAATGACCAGAAAATTGTATAGCGCTGTAATTGTGATACTTGTAGCTAAAGAATGCGCTAAGACAACTTTTGCAAAGATTTATGTCCGCAAGAAAAATTTACCATTAGAAAATTATTAAATTAAATAGCATTGTAAACGATCTTCAGAGATGTTTAAGGAAGGAAATTTATTCAATTCAATGGAAAGGTGTTCATGATACTTTTTTTTTTTTAACAAGAAGTTTTCTTTTTTTATATCAATGGAAGGATGCAAAAAATCTCAGACTATTATACAAAAAGATAAAAATGGATTGAATTTTACGAGTAAGTTGTACGTCATGATAAAGTTAATATATACTATGATATGAGATAACTTGCATATTGAATTTGATTTTATCCAAAAATTCATAATATCTCAAAACTGGTATTTACAAAAATAGTGATCTTTATTTCCTCAAGTTTAATTTCAATAGATATTTTTTGAATTGATAAATTCAACTATATGACGTCATTTTTAGCTATGAATATATTTGAATTTGGCCTAATTTGAAAAATTATTGAATCTACTAGAGTAGATTAGCGACAAATTTATGTAGCGAGCCACTGATGTCAACAAAGCATACACAAATAAAGCAGTCGGCAGAACTCACCATAATTAGATATCTCTTCTATCCAAGCCTCAATTCCAAAGGGAAAGATGGGGTTGTTTATGAAATAATAATCTCTATGTCAAGAGAATGCGTAATGTTAACTAAGGACGGCGCTCAATTTGAACAAGCACAAAAATCTAACTTCACGTTCATTGTTAGAATGCTGAAAAGGTTCACATGTATTCCAAATATTTTAGATTTTATTTTTTTGGATATTTACCAGACTTTTCCCAAGCATTAGCCTTTCTCAGAGATTACACTAAATATCAAGAAATTGAGCTAAGTTAGATTATTTCTAGAGTGAACAATTTCCTAATAAATAGCCTGAACTCTGACACTTGACTTTACTTGAGCTAATTGTCAAAAACGTTACCTTTACTTACTTTGAAGCTAAATTAGCTAAAACTGCAGATCGCACTGAAAATGAATTAAGTAGTCTTTTAAATAAATACCATTAATGGCTTGTTAGCTCATCGAAATTCTTTAGTGAATGAGCATTAATTATGGAAAAGTAGCAAACATGCAGTCTGCTGCTGCCCAGTTCCACGTGTAATGCAAACATTTTGTAAACATAAGTAAGTTGACAAAAATTAATTGAAAAACCTTATCAAATATCGGTTATCAGAATCCGTGAATATTAATTTGGTTTGTTAAAATATCGCCAACTTTTTTGGTATCGAAATCACTTTTTTTGTTGGACGGAGCACTAATGCCATTGATCCATTTTTATAATAAGTTTAGTTTAGATTTACTTAAGAAACCTGATTCCAGTATTTGAAAGGAGATATGTTCGAATGTGCAACTAATGCTTGCATCTTGCCGAAACATATGAGGAAGCTGGTGCTTTTAATAACTTCCAGTAAATTTTGAAATATTTTTGTTAAATTAACTTAATTGGGGTTAAAAATATTATACACAAGAGATTAACTTTCATTAACCGAAATTTCCGTGAGAAATTCTTGCTTCGTATCATTTACTACAACGTTAGCAACATTAATCGCTCTAACATTCTCTAAGTTGTTTGCTTGTTGGAGGCACTAAGTTTAAATGTAAAAACAGTCACAACTCTTGGTTATTTGTCTTAATCCAATTTAAATAAATTTTTGTTTCTAAAGAGAAAAGAAAACCGACTGTAAGTATAAGAAAAAAAAAGTGCAAAATGAATAAAAATAATGTTTGAAAAAGTGTAAGCCTAATTTAAAAATAAAAAACGAAACTAATTGTAGCATTCATAATTGTGCTCCAAGTGGAATTCTGATCAGTGACAGATTTTTTGGTTCTAAAAATATATTATTCAGATTAATAGTGCTTTTATATTCAAATTTAAAAAAAAATATAACAACTAGATTACACGTATAAAACAGGACAGTAGATCAAAAACCTTTAATGTGAGACCAAAAATTAAATATACTTTTAATTTTAAGCAACAAATTCAATATTTCATAAGCTTTTTGAATAAAACAATATATTTTCATAAATGTGGCGGATTATTTTTCTTCTGAATACATTTTGAAGAAAGGAAGTTATTTGTTAAAAACTTTTTTTTTTTGTAACCACCTAAAACATTTTTCATTTGATAAATGAAAACTTGGTGTTAACAATTCTCTCTTCATTTCTCTTTTCAAATCTGAATTGTTTTAATAAAGATAAAAGAATTAAATTTTTTTTATGAAGTTCATACAATCTAAAATGTACTAGAAAAATAATGGAAATTTTCAAAATTTTCTCTCATTTTGGCAAAAATTGACGAGTGGAAAGCTCTGAATATTTATATTTTCCAGTTTCTTTGATAGTTGAGCCATTTTTTTATGCATTTTAAGTATTTTATGTATTTGAAAAAAAAAAAAAAAAGCAATTATGTATTTTAAGCGCAGTCTGTAAATTGATTTATCCTCTATTGCAAACATGAAAACGTAAGATATTCCTATACACGTTAAATGTGAAAAACCACACGTGAAGTCAGGTTCCGTCGAAATATAACTTCTATCATTCGAAGAATCGATCTCATTTGATCTGTACACACACACATGGAAATATAATGGATGATACAAATACAAAATAAAATAACATAAGTATTTAAAACTTTTTCTTTGGTATAACTTTGAGAAATTCGGGTGCCCGTATAAGCCATTCTGGCCAAGAGCCTAAATAAATACTTGAATTGTAGCCAGACTTCCTCAGTGCGAACCAGATTAAACTAGAACGAATAGCTGATGAAGAGTAGACGATTACTGGTCGATTCTGATTGAGCTTTCTTGAACGAAATTGAGCTTTCAAATCCAATTCATCATGCCACTTCTGATTATGCCAGTCATAAACAACTTTTGCTGGGATATTGATTGCTGATCGAATATGACCGTATACTGCATTTAATGAAATGCCTTCATATTGCTGAAGAATAAAGGAGATAGTGAAAGAACAATATATCGGAGTGATTAAAGTGCTATTTATGAAATTCAATGAATTACCAATTTACCTCACGATCCTGGCCATCCACTAAATCATATGTTCTTAGTTCCGTGTTTGTGAGAACGTCATCAAAGGTGCAAATTACCTGTTGTAAACAATCAATAAGTGTCAGTGAAATGTGATATATAAGACATTTCAATCTCCGTCGTGAATTTATTTTTAATTGTTCAATGATTTTAAAATTGCCGTCGATGATGATTTGACATGATTGGTCACTCATAAGCTTACACTGGTATTCCATTCAGCCCGGAAATGACCGCTACGCTGCGGATATATACCATCACCACTCTCCGTCATATATTGTGCTGAATTATCCTTCAACTTTTTCCATTCGTTTATACCACCAGAATATAGTGAAACTTTCTGATGTCCAAACAGCTGAAATAAAGGTAGATTATAGTTAACACAGAAATTGATAAGTATAATTTCTGTTATACGATGAAATTATTATCATTAACATATCATAGCAAATTGCTAGTCATCATGTGAAAACATAATTACTGCTACTAGTTTTTCTGATTTGAATAAAATGCAATTTCGAAAATTTGCAACTTTATTACCGTAAAGATCCAAAAAGCATGCGTAGCCCAGACAACTTCTCCTCGATCGTAAATAATTACATAACAGTCTGAATCTACGCCTAAACTTCGAGCATATCGTTGAAATTGAAGCGGATGAATGGGTGCACCGTTTACACTCAAATTTCCGAATTGTAGGAGACGTGCTGATTCAATATGTTCCTCGCGGTATTCTTTTCTTAAATACGATTATCCATGTATAGGAGTACGTAAAGGATAGGAAATGAATGAAACATTGAAACTAACTTCGATTCTTCATTTCGATCAGTACCCGCTTCAAACAAGCATAATTTCCGCTTTGTAATTAGCAACGTAAGGAGAAAAGTTGATGTAATATCGATATCTACCTTCGATTTTATTACATTTGTATCGAAACTACTGAACATATTTCCATTGGAATAATTATCCTGAATCTGTAAGAGTTGTTAATTAAAACTTTTTAATTTCTTTTCAATTTTTTTTTTTTAATATCTTATGCATAAAATAAGTAAGAAAGTAAGAAAAGAAAGTAAACAAAATCAGATTCATTTTTCACTTATTTGTAGAAAATATGAAAAGGTTAAAGTTATAAACCTTTTAGTTTATATAATTTCATTACTATAATCTAGCATAACATAAAGCGCTTTAATTTTTTTCAGAAAAATATTGATTTTCAAAAAAAATGTTTGTTACTAAATGAAGATAAAGAAAGCTAACAGTTATTCCTGTCAAATTTTCGTCACATTTTGATTTACATACTTTAGGAATTATGGACTGTCGTATATTTTGAAAATTGCTGCCTTTTTTAAAGTCCCAGACCAGAAAATAAGCCAACAATAGAATGAATAGTATAATTGCTGTGGCCAGTAAAGAGCCCAATGACATCAACTTTGAATTACAACCATTTCTCTAAAAGTCTTGAATTAATCACTTCATCATTCCACTGCACCCTTCAAATTCTGTGATTTCAAATTCTGACATAGGTGCACATCTCAATGTATCTCAACAGCTTGTAATTCACTGAGTTTTCTAGCTATCAGTGATATGGCCAATTTGTGTGATTGTCCTAAGCCTTCAACCAAGTCTAAGTTTTAAAAGTTCAAGGACATATGAGTCATTGTCATACAATTCCAATTATTTCGATACAACAATGTATTTAAAATTAATTTAACAACTTTTTTTCAAATGCGGAGAGAAATTGTGACAGTGGTAAAACAACAGATGAAATTTATACAAAAGTTAGAAATCATTCCTTTTTTTGAATCACTTTTTAAACAAAATGGAACCTGTTTATGCTCTATGACAAGATGCGTTGGAATAATTTTTTGCAGCGAATTTATCGGCGGTAGTGGTGGTGGCATTTGTTTCTTAAATTTCAGTCAAGGTAAACTGAATGAAATCTTCAAAAGAATGAACATCGCATTTACTGTTCAAAACCAGGAGTTAGGGAAGTATTCGGACAAAGGAGAATCAAAAAAACTTAGAAATAAAAATCCATCCTTTTGTATTCTTTTTGTGGCAATATCGTAATTTCAAAATTGTATTAAATTTAAGTAAGCCTGAGAAAAATTCGATTTCAAAAATTTCTTTAATTAAGCCTGAGAAATTCGATTTCAAAAAAAAATAACCTGAGAAAGATCAGGTGGCTTCGAATAATAATATTCAGGATCCTCATAATCCTTCTGTGATCGCAAAGTATTATTGTTGCAGTTACTTTGACTGGATAATCCATTTAGATCACTATGGAATGTTCGAGGTTTAACAAACTGTGGATCACTCAGCGGCATTTTCGTTTACATGCGTTTAGTGTCTCTATGCCCGATACTCCTCTTGTGACTCTTATAAAAAACCATGAGACAATTCGATTAAAGAGTAAAACCAAATGAAATTAATCATCTGATTCTGAAAAATGCAAATAACCGTAAATTTCTATCGCTTACATGAGCGCTTCTTTTAAAAAAAGGAGCGAAATTAAAGTTATTGAGTGCTTTTCGATTGGTTATTATTAATGTCATTTGTGAAATGCAACATGCAAACAAGAAGATGAAGTATTAATAAGCAAAGAGAGTAAACAACTATTAGGCAATACTAATAGATTCACCACGATAATCAGTCTGGTGACAAATAATAAGAAAATATGGCGAAAAGAATTCGGATAACATTGTTTCAACAGTATAACGTAAAAATTCGAAACCTTTTAATTGGCGTTTGGATTGATTAAGAAACAAGTTATATTAAATGTATCAAAAGAACATTATAGATTTGAAAGCACTTCTTTCCATTACACCTTATGGATTCAAAATAGAAATTTTGTTTTACTGAAAATTACCTTGCATTTTCAGTAAATATTTTGATTTTTATATTTACGTAAAAAGGATTTTGCTTGATGTGTTATTGAAATGGTGAGATGAAGTGTTAAAGATAGGGATTTCATTGTAAATATTAATGAGGAATTCTTCAGAAAAATGCTCTGTTGTTAATTAATGACAATAAGGACTTTATACTTTGAAATTTTTTGAATTCACTTCGCTTCCAATCTGAAATTTCTCATACGTATTATTTTTCCCTTAGATGAGCACTAGTACAATTAAAATTGGAAAAGGCAACTATTGCGGAATGGCCTAAATATTTAATTTTGATATCTCGACCTTCTGGAAAGAGTGCAATATTTCGGGCATGATATTCTACGACGGATATATGAAAGCATGCTGCCTAGATAATTTTATTTACTTTGTTCTATTTTTAGAATGTTGGAATATGTTCAGAAGGATTATTACAACCAGAACATTTAAGATACTGAAAGGTTTTGGTCTCTGATTTGTGCATTATTTCATGTTTAAATTCTAGACAATATATTCCTGTAAAAAGCATAAAATTTAAATCACAAATTGAAAACTAATAGAAAAATTGTGCGCATTCACTATCTACCGAGAATAATTTAGCTTATATAATTAATAAACTGTGTAAATAAAAAAGAGAAAAGCATAATAATAATGCTAAGAAAGAAGGAAATATCCACCATGGTTTACATAACACTGCTCTGCTTCCTGTGAAAGATTAAGCTGAAGCATTTTAAGGCGGATTATACACTCCTTACATCTGGAACAAATGTTGACATAGTGGAAATTAGGCTAAAGTATTTCGAAGATTTCTTCTAGAAGATCTCATTTACTGACAATAAATAAGGAAAAGAAAAAACGGAAGTAGAGGAATTAATAAAAATAAACTCGGCAAGAAAAAAGGCGCCGTCAACTGATAGTTAATATAATGAATCGCTTCGAGCCGTCAATTATTGAAGAAAATTAAATTTATTTTAGTTTTATAAAAAAATACTCTTATAAAAAGTTTGGTATAAAAAAAACTGGTCGTAATTGTAGATAGTAAAAGAGTCTAGCAAATATGATAAACATATCTTCCAAGAAATTCGTGATCAGTCTAATTGAAGTATCACCGCGAAATCATACTGCGACGAAGAACGCACGACAGTAAACATACATCAGTTAGATTTCATTGTTCATTAGAATTTCTAATGATGTCAATAGCGCCATACTTCATTAATTTGATAATACATTATTTTACGACGATCATGACGAATTGGATGCAGAACATATAGGCTGTAATTTAATTAAAGTAAATTTTCTCATCTTCGAAAAAAAAAATGCGAATGCATTATATGAATAAATTTTAAATCATTAATGAGCGAAAAACCATTGAAATTAGAATTAGTCCTTTATAGTTATGGAAAAAGAAAGATTTCAACTTTTTTAAATAACAAAAAGACAACAGTGACTCTTTCATTTGGTTATTTCAGAGTGAAGAGAATAAAGACGAAGAGAATAGCGATAAAATGCTTTTGAAGGTCGCAGCTATCAGTCTACAGCGGGTTTTCAAATTTTTTGAAATATTTTATGTCATTGAAAAAAAACCTATAATAATGACTTATTGTGTTTTTTTTCTGGTTTGGTTAAATTACCGCACTTGCAAAAAATGCATAATAATTGGACAATTATCATATTATTTTGCATATTTTGCAACCGACGTGCTCAGTTGTACACATATACACTCTTATGTATTTCAATGTATTTATTTGCTGTAAAAACGGAATGTGAAGCTAGAAAAAGAAGTGATTAGAACAATAAAGTGGTAATAAATGAATAGGTGAAGAAAATATTTGATCACTGATCATTGAGAAGTTCAAAATATAGTAGATAAATAAGAATTTATGAATCCTACTTATAGAAAAGTATGATTTCACTGAAATTAAAGTATTAATGTATTTAAGACTTTCGAAAGTGTTCTTAACATATCGCTAATTTCCTAATCCTTACATTCTGGTTATTCAATTATCTTCTAATAAATAAATTGAAAACAGTAAATAGTTTTTCAATTTCAAATGTTTCAATGGTGAACAAGAAAAACGAGAGAAATACGCTATACAAATTTACTTTTTAATCTTTTTATTGTCTTTCTAACATTTTTTTTTATTTCCACTTTTGTAGCAGATGATATATGGTGTTTTGATCTGAAAACAGAGCTGTTAAATGAAATTTTGTTCACTAGATCAGGTAATCTATCACATCGAGCCAAATTTGTAATTTCTGTAAAAGTTTTGAAAATCCAAAATATCGAGAATTCTAAATCTGCTCCAGTTAACTAGGTAATTTACTAACCAAATTTATTATATTTGGATCAGTTTTAATATAAGTTGACATATGAATTTGACAGCCTTCAATTTCTGAAATTACCACCCTCAATTATCAAGAGATATATTCCATGTATAATTTAGCTCGCATGCTATTGTTCTAATAATAATATAAAGATAAACTCTCGAACTCCATATCAACTTTTATTTCTTGAGATATTTAATAACATCTCAGTTAACAGCGTTTTAATTTTCGCAAAAAAAATTAAAAAAAAATAGTTATAAAATGGGGATGATTATTCTGCACTCGACAATAATGATTGAGATAATAATCAAGTGATATACAAAATAAAATTTATTAATAACAGCAATTTTGAGAAAGCTGTAATATTTTGTGAATTGTAAAATAAAATAAATTATTGCTTGGATTATAATATTGCAGAGGCGATTTTGACAATTCAAACAATAAATTTAATTTTATTCTAAGTGCAAGTCTTCACTATAGCAAAATAAATTGAAAAAAAAATTAGCTGTGAAAAGTTAATTTTATTAGTGAATGAATAAGTTATAGAAGCTTTAAAAGAATTAGTAAATGCAATATCATTTTCTGTAGCTTAACTGCTTGAATTTAATAACATTTCAGATATATTTCTTTTTTGGTATACAAAATAATAAACAATAAATTGCTCATTAAAATAAATGGAGATAAAATGATATTCGATGAAGAAATAATCCATTTTCCTGAAGAAATTCAAGTATGCCTAACAATAGTTCAAAACATGCCGACTTTCTTTAAATTTTTTTCAATAACCATAACGATGACATTATCCAGAATTATTTGAACCTGACTGGTATCGGTAGCACAGGTTTGATGCACATAAATTGTCTTTTCTGGATTGGTATTTAAGGCTTCAAAACTTTTCGTTATGAAAGCTATCGAATCTTCGTATGTTTGAGGTCCTGGAAAATATGTTAAGTCTGGATTGTCTGGATTTCTTTTTTTTAAATATCAAGTTAAAACTTTAAAAAAAGACAATAAAAGATCTTTTTATATAATTCTGGATTTCTGCAACTTTACAATTGTTGCAACAATATTTCAATTCTGAAAACATTTTTCAAACTTACAAGAATGAGGAAAAATGTTTGTTAATTTAAACAGGAATAATATTATGTAATTAAACGATTAGTGATTAGTGAAAACGAGCACTTTAAGATTTTGCAAATAGACAAAAGAGATAACTTGTTCAACTGACCGTTGTAGTGAGGAAAAGCGATCCTGATTGATTTCGATTTTAGTTTCTCAATAAACAAATCTTTTTTGTTTAAAAATAAAATAATGGAAGCATTAAAAAACCATCGACTATTGCATATTGTTTCAAATAAACACATACTTTCCACCATACGATTCTGAAGTGAAGTGGGATATGACAGCATCACAGTTAGATAAGGCAATTAACCTCCAATTTTAATTAGTTCGGTAAAAACTAACAGTAGTATTATCTTCGAATAAAACTTCGGCATATTCGCTAATAGCCGCAACGTATATAACAGCGCTGACGTCTTCAAAACAATGAATCCATTTTTTCCTTTCCGATCGTTGTCCACCCACATCAAATACTCTAAACTGATTCCAACAACGAAGAAGTATGCATCGATTTGCTTCCTTGATGAATCATTCCTTGATATCCAATTTAAATTTATGATCAAGAGGGTGAAGACTTATATTATGATGCTAAAATCTGCACAGCGAAAGTACATTTTACTCGCCGATACAAACCTGAATGGAATATTTTTAATAGTAAAATGAACTTCCACAATTCCAGTCGTTTTTGTTCTTGTTAACAATATATCTTGCTCATTCGGTTTGTAATCCAAAGCTGTTATCCGATCGATACTATCGAAAAAACTTCTTACTTTTTCTCTATTCGTCATCTATATATTTACCAAGTTTTCATTATATTGCTGGACTGCCGAACAAAAAAAAGAATAATTAATGACAGTTCAAAACTGAATGTCATATTAAACAACTCATTTGTTCGATAATCCTTCAGTACTTCTTTCGTTTATTAAAGTATAAAGGTCATATTTAGAAAAAAATGAACAAATTGCTCAGTCTTTCTTATTTTACTTTACCTCGTCATAAATTAATAACATTCGGAGTAACGCATATAGTATCACTTAATGACTCTAATATTCATTTTACCAACACAATCCAATAGAGAGGCTTATTAAATTTTTAATAATTAGTCAAATGGTCCATAAAATTCCAGAATTGAACATGCTACCAATGCTATGAAGCTTTCATAAAAAAAAAAATGCTTTGATAAACCAACTGGGACACTAAATTCAACGAATTCAAATAGTTGCTTGTTTCTTACTTCTTTAGCGTATCATTCATTTCATTAATTTTTCCATTATTTGGATTAATTTGTTAAGATAGCAATTATTTAAATTACCTAGTCATAATTTAGGATATACATATAATTATCTGTATACACAATATATATATATATATATATATATAATCAATATATAATTAATTTAGGATTATATATATAATTAATATATTAACGCTAATTTATATGCGTTAGTTTACTATCCTATTTATAATCTTTTTTTTTGTCCAAATAATCAGTGAGATTAAGTTAGTTTATAAATTGTTGCAGAATTAGCGATGCATGCTTCTTCAACATGTTAATATTTCTATGTTAGAATAGGAATATGAAATCTTGCGAATGATTGCAATAGTTAAAAAATCGTTTTACGAATCGAAGATTGAGGAAATTACGATAATTGTGTTTGGTGTTGATAAATCTTCTATTCTAGTTTTTGCACTCATAATTTGCAAACTCAAATTCTCTGATTACAAAACTGCATTAAATTAAGCCGAACTGTTTGGCAGACTCATGTAGATTATGGTCATGTCTTCTTTCGTAAATATTTTGAATTGCAGGATCTTGCCACAGATTCTTGATTGCTGTTGCAATCTCATAAGTTATTGACTTCGATTCTGTGCTAATCGCTTGAGCAATGACAGCTGAATCATCCTTCAAGAAATTACTAATTATTTTTAAATAAACTATTCAATTATTCAAGTGACCACTAGTCAGGACTTGCTTTTTTCTAGTCAGAGCTTTTTTAAATAACCACTAGGTGGTGTCAATAATTCGTTAAAAAAATTAAATCAAAATGTAAAATAGACCATTTCATGAGTTGCTGAAACATTCTGGTGATTTAGTAGAGAGAAGGAGCGAGAGGGTAAAAGAAAGGAAAGGAAGAACTACGGAAATGAAAAAGTTTGGTGATAAATTTAAATGAAAAAGTTTGGTGATAAATTTATTAAAACGAAATAAAATATGTCATTCAACAGCTCCTAAAAATGACCTTTCTGGCTGGTTCACTGAATTTAATACTACACCGTTCCATAACTTTTAAGATATCATCCATTGCATGAATTGTATTCGAATACAACCAAACGTTGCTTTATTATTTCATCCTGCGTAAAACCACTACTGTGTAAAATTTTACAAAAGTACTGAACGTTAAACAGATTACACTTTTGTTTATGAAATATTACATTCGTCTAACTGATCAGAACAGTGAAATTATGCATTCATGCAATGAGCATTAATGATCAGACAATCGTGATAGATCATAATTTGATTGATCAAATGTTCATTAATAAGAGCGTATCTGAAGAACAGTCTAATTAAGAGAAATTAAAAAATATATTAAATCTTATCATGAACCTCATCTGCTTTAGCAATGTGCTCTTACCCGAATCACCAGTATCTGAAAATTCTTTCTTTTTTTTTTTATTTTATTATCGATGACATTACTATTTAATATAATAAACCTTCTGTCTCTTGTTATTGGTTTAGAAACATACTGTTGTATGAAATGAATAATCTTTATCTATTTCAGTAGAGTAGCATCGACAATAGAATAATAAGTTTCACTGAAAATAGTAGAGAGAATGGAGAACTATTTTGTTAGAGAATATCATTCCTTCATATTTATAGCAAATATAGACTAACCGAGTAATAGCAGTTTGATAGCTTTGGCACTTTCGATCGCACTTTCATTAATTTCGCGATCAATCCCTTTACTTCTTTCGTGTAGTTTTTTTTTCCTCTTCACTTTGACAAAGACCCATAACATTAGTATTTCTTTTTCTCTATGAAATTTAGAAAACTTAGGAATGTTGGGAAAATATACCGATAGTTCTACAAGATGACCAAATATTCCTGACCGCGTCGCGGGGCTCTGGAATCGTAAAGTATTATTAATGATAGAAACAAATTCACAAAAAAGCATGCTGGATATATGGAAAACAAAAGGCATCGAATCCTAGTTTCTGAAAAAAAAATAGTTTGTGCATTCTTTCCAATTTATTTTCTAAATCCTTTAACATTCAGTTTATTTGATAACTACCGAGTTAAATATCAATAAATTCGAAAAAAATAAAAAAGACAATGTTGACCATATACTTGAATGGCCAGAAAAATGATGCATTTCATTTCCTAATTTTTTGAGAAATTTACTTATACTTTTTCTAGATTCCTTTTTTCTTTCATACTAACAGTATGATCACTTACTTTTAACAACTACAATAATTCAAAAAAGGTTGATATTTCTGACTGAGCAACTTGGAAATTACAAAATGACATCTAGTCAAGAACTTTATTTAGAATTTTCAACAGTGACTGTACATCCAACTTTCCATCAGCTAATTGTTATTGTTAATATATTTCTTACTCAAAAACTTTTTTAGCTTCTAGCAAAAGATTGTACCTTTATGCCTGGTACAGTGCAATTAGAACCCTTTTCCATAAACTTTTGCTTTTCAGGGGTAAACTTAGCACATTTCTTCGTTTGATATCACAAAATTCTGCATCTGACCAAATTAATAACTTTTGTTACCTTTGTTTATGTATATGCATGTATGGTTTAATCCATCGTTTTGAAAATGAATATTTAGCCAAACTTAGCCAACAATCTAAAATTTGAAGAATTCAATAACATTTCATGTGAAAGCAATAAAAGTTGATGAATGGCATGATTTAGAGCGTATTATGAATTTTTGTCTGAAGCAACAGGATCAAGTAATCTGGTGAAGTGAAAATATTCTCACAAAAAAACGATTCCTCTGGCAGAACATGTGGCAATGACTTCACAAAAAATTTTGGCTTCTAGTAAAGTTTTGGAATGTGCAAGAAATCTTACCAAATAGTATGTATATTTTATGATAAGGGAATTTTTTAGAAAAAAGATTTCATGAGTGAAAATTTACAGGTAATGAATTTTAAAATAAATGAACTAATCTTCATAAATGCTATGTATAATGAAAGCTTTATTTTCAACCGGACCGAAAGTAAAACTTGAGACAAAAACGAATGCATAAATCAAAACTTCGAAAAAGAATAATGTGGTTTGTGAATTTTTGTGATCACAAAAAGAATATAGCACCATTATTGATAATATAATTATGATGCCATTAAGAAATATAAGATTAATTTTGTATTTCTTGACACAAATTCGAATCGTCAAGTATTTTGGGATACGGTGCTACTTCCATACATAATGATTATACTCATTGAGATCGGCGCTGTTGTCATTTAGAATAATTTTTATTCAGTGACTAGGATAAAGAATATTATATGAAATGATAAACAATATTTAGGAAGAAAACATTCCAAGGATAATTTGCAAGAGAAATTAGTTCAAAAGTGTGGAATTAATTACTAGCTGAACAAGCGGAATTAGTTGCCAATAACTGGTTGTTGAAGGCTTAGGTGTGCATCTAAGTGTATGATTATATGACTTAATAAGCAACTTTGCTTATTAATTTATGCAGGTATCTCCTCTCTATCACTGCCGTTTATGTACAAACAACAAATATAAGTAAATAATACTACTCATTGTGTTATCAATATTACGGGACGGATATCTTTACTGAAATTGGATTCATCCCTTATTGGTATTAAAGTAGAACAGGAAATTTTCATTTCACATTTTGATACTGCGCTGAAGTTGTTTGAATCGGATAGAAAAATGATTCAGTGGGGGAAATTGTTGCTATCTTTAATTTAACTGCTAGATAGTAATAAAGAAACTTTTAAAAGTGGCAAATAGAGACACTCAATTTCATTCTCAGATAAAATTGGAGATTCATGCAATATTCAAAAATTAAGAAACATGTAACAGACTATATTCTGCTTGAAAGATACTACCGTAGAAAGACATCAAGTAATTATGGCTGCTCTTCCGAAGAATGGCCATTGTTAAGCAACAAAAACAAATTCACTCTTACAAAAAATTCATTCTCACATTAGATTAGGCCCAGAGTGACAAACTGTAATGATAGTTAAGAGTTTAATAAAAAAATCTACTGCTCCATCTAGATGAATGACCATCTAGATAATGTGATTATTAGAGAAGAACACTTCGCTCCTTGCTGCTTTTCTAATATCTGCATCAGTGCTCATTATACCTAATGAGATGTCACATTTTCATATTTGGTACAACCATACTTCGCGTTGTTCGGTGGTTCTTTGATGGATGGTGGGTTATGTCGAAGTGTGGCGCTGTTAACTGAGGAGCGAATTGTCTCCGAGACAATAAAAGATAATTCTTCAGGATTGCTGTAAAGGAGAGAGATCAATGTTTGCCTTGCAGTGAGTTAAGCGAATGACAAAAATACTCCCTGTACTGCAAGCAGTATGCAGATTTAATGCTGGACAACGAACCGCATTAGGACTAGCGAAAGGTGTTGATGATGGAAGAACTAATATCATTTCGGTAAATGTTGAAACGGGCTCGAAAAGTATTATGCAGCTAAAGGATACCGGTGGTAAAGGGATAATTTGTTTGACAAATCCCAAATGTTATAGATAAATAACTTTTTTTTTTTGTAATTTGTGCACAATTTTTAATTATTTCGTCAACTATCTTTAATGATTGCAGAGTTGACAAGTAGTGCATGTTTCATGAGGATTTTGTAAGACTTAATTTTTTTTCTTTTTGGAAAAGTGTAAGATTTTTGAAATAGTGCAAATCTCATAAATTTGTTTTATCATACATTTTGTTGAGGCATAAGAAAATACAGACTTTAACAATGAATGCCTGTTCTATTATTGTAACGTTTACCAACTAGTTAATTTCAGTTTTCACCATATCGTTGAGACAATATAAGAACTTATTAAGAGTATAGAGGGAATAAGGAGTATCAATAAGTTATCGATATTTTATGAATTTCAGCAGAATAGTAACGAATTATCTTCTGTTTATCAAATATTTTCTATAAAATTATTTTTGCTGATTTTAAGCTTCTTTCAGCGAAGAAAGTGCGATTGAAATACAACGGACTTTTGCCACAAAAAGCAATTTTTGGCCTGTGGAATGCACTCACAAAGTGTTCTAGAAACCCGAAAATTCTACAGTCTCAAGCTGATCAGGTCTTAATCATTTTTCTTTTATTTATTTGAATGCTGAAACTCATTTTTGTCAATTATTTTTAGATCTCCGTCAATTTGTGTAAATCTTTATGGTAAAACTTCATGTTTTTTTCGATTTGGGCTACAATTAATTTACTTATTGGTTATTAGATGAAATATTTTGTACAAAAGGAATATCCGAAAAATACTAATCAGTCGACAGTGCGGTTTGTGGTAAATAACGAAATTCGTATACGGTGAAATTGTTTAATTAGAGCCGTTAAAATTACAAGTTTCGTTTTCTTCAGCTGGCACTGATGTTGTGTATAAGTCAGCAGTTCTTATGGATTCTTTATGCCTTTTCTAATCATTAGTTGTCTTATTTTTATTTTTACATTTCGAGCAAATACACATTTATTTTACTGAGTGGTGCATAAAATAATGAATAGTCTTGTTATTGGTTCTAGTAAACTGCAAAAATCCTGCAGATTTCAAATCTTGAGCATTTTCAGTTAAAAGAAGGGCTGAGTCAGCGTCAATTTCCGGCGTCACCAAAGGAGGTGCAAGAAGCACGTCATGAAATTAAGAAAATGTTGGAAGCCGAAGGTGGATTACCGGATCGCAGTTCTGTCAGTCAGAAAGTTGTTAGTTTCGACTCTCTTTTTTTGACGAATTTACTTTGAAAGCACTTAACTTTTAAGTGTATTGAAACCAAATTGAGTTCATGAGAAGTCGTAATCTTCTCTTATATTTCTTATTGTAGTGCATTATTTCAGCAGCAGGTATTTGAAATTTAAAATTTAGACAAGATGGGTTAGTTCATGGAATTTAATTTAGCTGGAAGCATTGGATTTGGAACTGAAAAAGAAAGTAGGTAAATTGCTACGCAACGCGAGATATAACTGGAAACCACTGGACTTTAAAACGCGCGAGCATGCTGCAGCTTATACCTTAGCCAGGTACATTCTTGATTTTTTATGGGTTTTGGTAGAGAACATTTCAGCCAAACAACTGTTTAATTTTGCTCGTGGATGCTATTTATTTAATCCATTCTCATCTAACGTTTTATTTCTCTTATCGTGAAGTATTGACATTCGTTTTTTGCTGTTGAATACACTGTGTAATTTCGCCAATGCACAGTTAATCATGAATATTTTTTCAATTCCCTTTGCAGTGCTTGCTTTATTCCACCATTTGATACTGTCGATTTTTTAGTAATATGAATCTGGTATTTGAATTATCAGAATTTGTTTCATTACTCCGATTTATATAATTTTCCATTTTAATGTTGTTTCTCTTTGAGTAAGTTTTTCCTAGTATTCAGCACAGTAAAACAAAAATGAAAATAGTCAATATGTATTAAATATTTCACAGTTTGCAATTTTTAGGCTTGCACCTAACTATGCAGAAGTTCGTTTTGTCTTACAAGAATTTGTAAATAATGAATACATCCCAAAAACAGTTTTGGACTACGGAAGTGGTTCTGGCGCTGCATTTTGGGCAGCATTCGAACAGTGGGGAGAACAAGTCAAAAGTTATCAGCTGATCGATCCAAATGAAGAAATAAATCAGTTTTGCATGGACGTTTTAAGGGTATGCTTATCATTTATTGTTGATTCATTCTGCAATAATTATAGCTTATAATTCATTACGTTTTGTACAGAGTTTCCTATGACTGAATTCAAAAAGTATGTATATATATATATATGAGAAGTTCTTCATATTTAGGGCAATGGTGAAAACAGTGGGCATCCATTTGTGCATCCAAATATTAGCTTCCGAAAATTTGTGGCTCCATCGTTAAATAACACTTTTGATGTTATAATTGTGCATCGTCTTCTTGCTGAATTGGCTTCTGAGGAATCACGTACTGAGTTGCTAATAGATTTATGGAAGCGAACAAACAAGTGGGCCTGTTTAATCTTTAAACTGTTTGTCTCTTTGAACAAGGAATTTTATTATTGAAAATAAAATTAAATATTGTTAAAGAGTTTATGAAAGTTAGTGAAAGTTCAAGATCCTTTTAAAAGCTTGTTGAGCAGTTCTTTCAAGATATTTGGTAATGATTGACGGAAGCTGTAAAGGTGGCTATAACGCTTTAATGGAAGCCAGAGATTATATCCTTATGGGTGGCTGTGAATTGCATCGAGAACAAACTCGACAAGTCCTGATGGAAGCAGGAGTATTGAATGAAGAAGCAGACAGTATCTTGACTGATCAACAATTATCCAACTATATGCGTTACAATCTTATTAAAAATATGGTACACTTGATTTAAGAAATGAGTAATAATATAGTAATTCAATGCTTCATGATTATCATTTGTATTGTATTGATTTAGGCAACCATTCGAGTCTAATACACTCTCTTGTTTGTTTAATTTCTTTCAAATCATCTTGATTTCAGCTTCCACCAAACACAGTTTTGCCAACCAGATTGGAACCTGGATATGTATTTGCTCCATGTCCACATGACCAGGGATGCCCGAAAAATGTGGAAAAAGAAAAGTTAGTCTTACCTTCAATGTGTTAAAAACTTGACTCCTTTTTTCACATCAGTTCAGTTGAGAACTTTCTATTTATTTTCTGTTTTTACTTCACTTCTTAAGTTTGGAATTATTTCAATAAGCTTAAATGAAATATTCCATATCCATATTTCAGAGATGTATGCAGTTTCTCAACTCAGTGGAATGTATTGCGGGCTGATGGGCGGAAGCAGATTTCTAGTACCGAGACGGGATCATTCACATATGTTATTATGGCCAAAGGAGCAAGATCTCATCACATACCTCAAAACAGACTTCTGACGGTTTATTTATTCCAAATTAAAAACAGTCTATTCTGCTTTGGAAACTGATTGAAATAAATAAGTTTTAGATGCAGTTTTTTAAAACATCATACTGATGATACTTTCTCCTTAACCTTTTTCTGGAATTTATCCTTACTCCTATCAAACTTCAGTTAAAGCGTCGCGGGAGACATGTGTGCTGCACGGTTTGTACACCATTTTGCGGAATACAGCGGTTTACAGTATCGAGAAGTATGGGCAAACTTTATAAAATAGTCAGAAATGTTAAGATGGGTAGAGTGCTTCCAGTTGAGGTTACTTTTTCTGCAGTTTTTTTCTCGATTCTGTTTAACGAGGATATATCTTCTGGTTAACAAACATAAATGTAAAGATAAAGTATATTTTTCGTGTTCTTTCAGAATGAGTTTCATGAGTTAATTTGCAAATTTGTTAGATTATAAGTGAAAATCTGCACAATTCATGCGTTTAATATTCACAAATCAATGTCTTCAATATTCACAAATCAATGTCTTGTTCAGATGAGAAGTGTAGGTTCTGATTCGGAGTTCGATGTGTATGAAGAAGCGGTGCAAAAATTTACAGAGGAAAAGTGCGTCTCTGAGATATAAGTGGAAATCTGCATAATTCCTGCGTTTAATTTTCACAAAAACTCTCCTATAGCTAATTCTGAGTTGTTTTATTTCTGTTGTTTTTTATTAATACCTGCTACAATTTTTTTTTTGAATACTTTTGTTGCAAAACAGTTGTACAGTACGCTGACTTTATTAATAAATAATAAAGATAAGCGAAATAGTGATCTATTTCCCAATGTTTATTGTACATCTAAATTAAGCCTTTTTGGTTCATCTTTTGTTTCCCTGTTCTGTTGTTTTTATTACTACCTACTGCAGATATTTTAAAAGTGAGTATCGTTAAATATGTTAAATGTGAAGCTGTAGAGTCTTTTTTTTTTAATTGTTACTAGTTACAGTTGTTTAATGGTTTTCGGGATAATTTCTTGAAAGATGAGAGCAAGCTAGTAAACTGAGTGGAGTATGAAAGATCATCTGAAAAAGCATAACAGCAAATCGTGGGGTAAATACATGTTGTTATAGCATGATTCAAAAATGTAATTAAAAGGGATGGACGTATGCGCTATTAATGGAAGTAGAACTAAATAATGGATGAGAGGGCCAGCTGTTGTCTTCATGCCCATATCTGAAAAGCATGGTTTTGCATGGTTTTAAATATATAATGAGTCTGAAAGTTGCGGACTATTTGATATTGCAAGCATTCTCAGTAAGGTCAACCAATGACTTCGTGTGCCAACCAATGAAATCTAAGTCTATCTTACTAATGTGCTGGGAAGATTCTTTGTTTATAAAATGAAACTTTAGGAGAAAATACTCACACGAATGGTACAGTCCCAGCTGGCAGTACATATTGCAGTCCCGTCTGGACTTGTTCTTAGACATGAAATCCTATTTTCATGACCGTATAGGACTGAATGACGCACACATTTTAGTGAATCCCATACACCAACACGATAATCACCATAACCGGCAAAAAGTATACGGCCTAAAAACATCATAGTGACGACTCGGAAATTGTGGGTATGTTTAGCGTTCAGCTCACTACAATCAGAAGACACGCAGTATTTTGGACTTGTGTACACTCCTGAATAAAAATAATATCTATCAAGATAATTTGCTCACCGCTTAAACTAAAGTCGACACCGTTCACTGGAAACAAGACGGATTCTTTTTCATAAACACACACTTGTCGATCAGCGCGTAAATCAAACAATCGGCACTAAAACGTGAAAAAATTTTATAACCTGAATTAACATATAACATAAAATTTTACGAAGCGCAACAAATGCAGCACGAGTTCTTACAATCGAAAAAAGAATTGACAAAAATGAAAACCAATAAGGAACCAACTGAAGCATCATCCGAACCGGTAGCAAAAGCATCATTATTTGGATGAAATCTAACTGTATTGATGTCTGCTTCATGTCCTTCGAAACTCTGTACACACTGTCCAGTTCTTATATCCCAAACTAATGCATGCTTATCTGCTCCCTTAAAATAATAAATTTCCAGAAAATATGCAATATCATTTCAGAGTAAATGAATGAAGATCTACCACTTCATTCATTTACTCTGAAAAGTAGGTCTGCTGGAAGCTTAAAGCTTTTTCCACAACTTCTAAATGTAAAACGGAATGAATACAACAAAAATAAAATTCACCCCGGAAATAAAAATATTGCCAGTGTCGCTTTTAGGCACATCAATTGCAAAAATATCACCAATGTGGCCATGAAAATTTTGAATCATCTGACCACTCTCCACATCCCATATTGCACATGTTGAATCACCGCTACCAGTCAGAAGCTGTAAATAATTGAATATTCTTCCTCTGTTTAGAAAACAATTTTAGCTTTGCTTTGATTGCTTTCTAGAGAAACAGGAATGTTACGCATAGTACACAAGAATAAATTTTCTATTTTGAGCATGTAAAATAAAAAATGAATAAATTGTCGAATGTCAGTAAAAATCACCAAATTGTCAGATCTTAGGAAAGTACAGCATGACATATAGCTTGTGTGTGTTGCAACCGATCGTTTTTTTTGTAGGATATCATCTTCAAAGCTCAGCGGTACCACTGAACATTTATTATCCAAACCACTAAAATCAACATGTAATACTTTACAAAACAACGATTTTGTTACAGAACGAACTTATCATTTTAAATTACTTAAAATGATAGCTTTAAAATTACGATACACGACGAAATCGCTATTTCATTAATCACTTCCAAAATTCTTTCATTTAGATTCTCTGTAGCAAAAAAGTTTTGATGGCATGAATAATAAAATCTAAAAACAAAATATTTGGAAAACACAAAATACCCGCAAGCAATCATTTGCGCACTAGGGGAGTAAGCACAAGCCATCACCCATGTTGTTGGCATAGTTAAAGCATGTTCCTTATTCGTTGTAAAACCATCCCAAACGATTACTTTCCCATCCTGAACAAATTTAAATTTAAATGTTAGAAGTTCAATGCGCCGATAAACCTATTCTATAAGTTATATTCAGTTCGGTGTGAAATATGCGTCATTATCTTGGTTCAAAGAAATACAGTAAATTATTCTTTGAGTTCCAAATTGAGAGGAGAGAAAAGCGAGTGAGAGTACAGAAAACTTTGCTAACTCCAGTAACTGATCCTTTGCAAAAAAATCATTTTTTTTTTAATTCAATATAAATATAAAATGAGTTGAAAGATTCATCTTCATCTGTAAAACAAATCAGGAACTATTAATATTTAACTTCATTGGTATAGGTTTCATATTTTGGCCCTGATGATTGATATGTGCCTTACATATGAAAAATTTTTCAAACCTAATGTAATTTGACACTTAAAAATTATCGTCCTTCAGTGAATTCTGATAACATCATTCAGGATATTGAAGGAAAATTTCGAAAAATGAAAAGAAAGTTGTTGAGAGTTTAGTACCACGAGAAAGTCAGAACTCAAAATTCAAAGTTTGGAATTAGAAAAACCATACTGCATGTCCAGATGTTTCCGCCAAAAAATACATAATCATTATTATGAAAGCAAGAACCTGTGAAGAAGAAACAATATGTCGTTTATCTAAGGACCAATCCATGCAGAGCACTTTCCCAGCATGTCCTTTCAATATACGACGTTGTTTAATATTTAGCTGTGTTAGTGGTTCGAGACTTTCAGCTGCTTGCTCAACTGAAGTAAATATACTAGAAAGTTTTAATCATGAATTACTGATAACATAACACAAATCAGTATTGTTCATTAATGGTCACCAAATGCTTGCTTTAGAAATAAAAATTGAAGTAATCCCTTATCATATGTCAAGATTTTCCAGAATTAGCTTAAGAACACTGCAAATGAAAATGGTTTGAAGTGGATAATAATACTCTCAAGACTTACTCGACACATCGTTCAGTTTTCTTCGTTCCGCTTCCAGCTTTCTTCGGAGATCTTCTGCCTCACGGGCCAGCACATCGACGGTGTCTGAACTTCTAAATTAACCAAAAGTCTATGAGAAATATTCTGAAAAATAATGAATGCGAAAGGTAAGGTATACAGGCAGCAGAAGAGTAAAATTACAAATATTTCAACCTTGTTCCAGTCTCTACAGCAATGGTCTGAACAGATGCGATGATTTTTGTTGTGGATGGCTCATCAGCATTTGATTTTTCTTTTGTTTCCACTGGAGAGAAAAAACATTAAGATATCGTTCATTTCAAAGAGTATCAATTTCTTACGATTTTCTTATCAAAAAACGGATCCATCAATTCTATCGAAACGAATAATCTCAGATACTTTCTATACAGAACGGAATCCCACATCTGCATTTCTTTCAAGTAAAAATTTATCTCTTCTCTCTTTTTGTTCATTTGATTATTATTTAAACAAAATAAGGTTGAACCTGGAGTACTATGTTCATCGCTCATCTCGACAGAACAGAACTGAAGACCAAGGATATAATCATATATTCGATACTTTTCTTTCCTTAAAAATTAAAAAAGACTCATCCAAAGTAAACACGTTGTCCAATATTTTCTTACAAGTTAATTCACCAACAAACACCATGTCCAAAATCAATAAAAACGGTTAGAAAGAAGAGATCATTGTAAAATGAAATATCTAGGCTAGGCCAACGGAGCCATTTTGCTAGGCCACATCTAGAAAGATATCTACTCACTCCACTATCGAGTGGAGTCCAGTAGTACACGATGACTACACTGCTAATTTTGAAAAAGAAAAAACCGTTTCCACCTCCCTGAATCCCATACCACTTACTGCATATTTTCTCGTCCATCTGAACTTTTGAAAGAAATTTTCATTCACTTCCATTTCTCGTAATATTTTCAAAACAAAAATGTCACACTGATGTAATCTATTTGTTACCGGTTTTTAACGTTGTTTCCAATACCTCATGTGTATGCGACTACAAAAGTGGTAAACAGAGAGTAACTCACTCTACTAATTCATGGATGTGAATTAAACCTACGCAACTGTGAGTTAGTAATGAACATTTCATTAGCAAAGAAGCATACTTTTCAGTTCACATATTCTTTCCAACTATCACGGTAAGCTCACAAACCAGTCGACCGTATTTAAAGATCTACTATAAATCCTAAAAATGACTACCCAGTCTAAGGACCTGATCACCTTATCAATCGTCTGCTAGAGGTCTTACAGAAGTGGATAATTATACTGGTTATTCCTTTGTGCATTCAAAAACGAAATTCTCCGTCAATCGCTAACTAGTGCTAAAGCACATCCAATATACATTATACACGTACTTTTGAGTTGAGCTTATACTTCCATATTTTCAGCACATGTGCATGAGTCATCCAACCTGACACTTTTTTTTTTTCTGATCTAATGATATTCTCTAGTCAGCAATTTAGTACTCCTGCCTAAAGGAACTATTTAGAGAAAAGACTTTGAAATGATAGCATGGATCACGAATCAACCGTGTCATCATTCCTGAACTTCATGCTTCAGCTACTCTCCTTCAAACCTACAAAACGTGTCTAATGATACGGTGACAATGATCAAAGCGAAATGATGATTGCCAGGCCAATTATTATTAATGAACATTTTCCAAACTTGCTACGGAAACGATGCTTGCTCTTTCCTTGATATAAGCAATTGAATCAGATAAAATTTACTCCTCCTCCTCCTACTATGTTATCCATTAACAACCAACACGATGAAGATACTTCTTCTATTCCTAGAGACAAATTCAGCCAGAGACAATAACAAATGCCACAATCGTAAGCTATGCAATTATGCATTAGGTAATAAAAAAAGCAATTTGTTTTTAGTGAGAAAAACTTTACCCTTACTTTCTATAACCTTATTATTACTTTTATTTTACAAAATATCCTTTTTCAGAGAAGTTAGTTAAACCGAATACAAATAAACACTGGACAGTGAATAACAAACATAACTCGTTTATTTTGTCATTTCTGAGCATACTGTATTCAAATCCTGAAAAACATTGAAAAGTTTACTATACCATCCACATTTTACTGACATTGCTTTTTCACGGAAAAATTCTTATGTTTTCTCAAAACCAGTTCCTTGCTAATTCGCCATTTCCTATCTGAAACTCATTTTATTTGAATTTAATCCTCATAATTCCCAAACGAGTAGTACTGCCATTAACTATTACTAACAGTAAAAGCTACTAAATATTGAATGATACAAAAATAAAGATGTTACCAAAAAAAGCTTGTTTTAACGCTATCAACTATATTAAAAAATTTGAAGATTACATTTACCACAAATTGACCTTTTTAAAGTAGCATTAAAACTTCAAGAAAGAAATAATCTATATCAAATGTGGAATTATAACACTAAAACAGAGTCTACAGAAAGATAAATCGATCATAGGAATAAAAAACTGATTTCAGGAATACGGAAAATGAAGTAGAAGAAACACAAGATTTATTTCTGTACAATTAAAAAAAAACAATAGCAGAGAACTGAGAAGACCATGAACAATAAATTTCATGCAGTGACTCGCTGAGAAATACTCTGTTGAGCATTCTTGGTTGGCATAGATTGCGTTTGTGCTGGTTGCAAAGGTGGCCGAATTGGTGCTACACGGTAAAGAGGCGAATTTTCCAGTTTCTGGCGCAAAATACCCGTTAAAATTACTTCTACATTGTGCACGGCTGTAAATAAGTCTTTTTTAAGAAAAACCTTCAATTTTTTTTTAAAAATCAAAAAAATGAAATTTCAACCAAGTGATTTATAAATCATAAACAAGTGAAACGTACGCATTCCACAATCCGTTAAATACTGCAAAAGATGTACATCACTGTCATTACCAATCAGTAACAGCAATGACTCGGTCTATAAAACCTGTGAATTACAAGTAAGAACTAAGAAAATTAAAATTCAATAATCGATAAGTGAATAACATCGGGTAGTAGTTGGTACGATTTAAAACAATTAAGATTCAAGCAGTGAAAATGAATGAATATCATTACCTCAATGCAGTGTATAACATATTGTGGTTGAGGTCTTTCCCTTAACACGGTACCCCCAGCAAGTTCAATCAAAGCCAATAATTCCTCGTAGGATGGCTCAACACTCGGAGTCAAGTAAAATGTTACATCCTGAAATACGGAATGTTTCAACTAATATAAATGAACATTTATTTTAAAGCAAAAAAAAACCATTATATGATTTTCATAAGCGAAAAGTGAAGTAGCAATTCAAATCTAAGAATACTTAAACTACAAGTATACCTGGAAAAGCTTTCGATAGCGTGCTTTCAAAACACTGTATTTCAGATTGTAACCAAATATTTTCTCATTTTCATCATCTCGAGCAAAGTAATCCAGTGAATCTGTGTTTTTTTTTTTTTTTTTTTAAATCGTAAAACATATCAATTCCAAACTTACTAACATTCTTTTTCATTCAAGTTGATTTTTTTCAGTAAATCGAACACAGTTTTGCTTGTTTGTCGGAGATTCCAATAACTTACCTGGGATAACGCGACATCGGTAGCCATCACTAACCCAGTTTGGCCCAACAATATTTTTTCCCAATGCTATTGCTTCCAGAAGCTTAAGTGTACGCCACAAATTAAGTACCACTAAATGTGTGCATTCTTGCACTTTTTCAGTAGTCGCACCACCAAGAAAACGTACTTTCTGAAAGGTATAATAATCCTCAATTATAATTCTCTATAATAATCAGTTAATCTCCGATTTACCTCAATAATGTTGGAATAACCAGTTCAGGCTACCTAATTCAAAAATTAAAAAGTTCAGAAAACTCTAATCCAGCTGTTAAAAATGGAAGCATACTCTTCCTAATGCATCCTTTTCTTCGGGAGTGAAACCGCTGAAGCATACCACCGGAACTTCTTTGAGGGTACCCATTTCAGACCTTCTTGTTTCAATTTCTTCGTCGGTTGGTGGTGGAGTTGTCATGCTATAATGGGTTGGGTAAATTCTATACATTTCTATGTATTCCAAATTCAAAATTATCACTACAGATTCGAAGTCTTGCCAAAAGCTTACCGAAATCGTTTATTTGGAAAAATATTTTTATCATTTTCCACATTTCTTTTAACTTCTAACGCTCGTTGCCATTGCTCATTTGCAAATACAATTGGTATTTTCCATGGAACTGAAATCTGCTATTTCATTGGGAACAACAAAAGCATTCAGTGAGTAATAAAAGAGATTGTGCTTTATGACTAATCGAATAAACATTTTTTATATTTTTAGTTATTTTGGCATCATTCATCTAGATCATTCTGAGGAATCTGATTTAATATTATTAATCTGTTCTTTAAAGCAAGCTTTACTTGACTTCTCCCCCTCTGGACCAGAATTTATGTCTATTCGTTACACACTTCCGCATTAACCTGGCATTTCTTGCAAACTTTTACACGAAGGATTTGCTCTCTAATAATACAAGAAATAACCGAAAACTCTAATTCTAGGATGAAACTGATAAAATATACTGAAAATTTTATTTGCAACCAAGAAATGTATATAATACGCATAGCCTACTCAGGGATTTTAATAAAAAAAGTGAATTTAACAAAGCACAAACATAGGAACTGTTTGCATGCTTCTGAATAATGTTCCATATTATAAGGAGTAGCATTCGTGTCCGAGACCATCCCCGGAATGGGACTGCAATTTTCATTTTCATTCACTGCATTCTTGATACCCAAATAAATGTCAACCAGCCATTGATATGTTACAACTGAAATGCCCATTTCGTGGCATCGTTCTATTTTTTCGCCTTCAGATCTAAAACAATAACTGATTCACTTACTACTGAAATAACTGTTTGCATTAGATAATACATTAGCTGCATTTCAGCCTTTAAAACTTCTTATCAAGGAAGAAAATGCAAGATAATACAACCATAATTAAAACAGTGAAGAGCAAAACAGAAATTTTCATACGTTTTCGTGACTAAAAAATGGTTATGACTAGTAAGATGGGGAGTATATCGGGCTCCTATGGCAGTAATCATCATTCGTACACCACACCGTTCATTTTCATTGAAGCCGTTTATTGTTATTATCTATAAAATGCTGTTTGCTAGTTAAATTTACGAAAAAATTAAACCAAAACAAAGAATTTTGTGAAGTTCTCCTTAAATTCTTTAGAGTGTTTCAATGTTCCAAATATATCATTGTGTTCCTCAATTTCTTTAAATCTTTTTTGATTTTTTGGCCCTCTTCTTATTTCCAATCAACACAGTGTCCCTTCAACTTCGAGATCATCATAAAACTCAATAAATTCATTTTAATTATTACTTTGCCAGTAGCTGGTCTGTGATTATCGGTCCAAAATGTTGGCAGATGAAAAACACGCCAGGGTGCTTCAAGATGCTTCTTGCTGAGAACATCATTTAACCACTGCAGTGTCACACATCGCTTACCCCTCTTCAGTGCCTACAAAACTTCAAACTGGTGTCGTGTAATATATGCTGTTCCTGCCGATATGGGAAGTAGAAAAAAATCGGAAGACAAGCTGTTATTCTCTTTTAATATCTAACAGAAGTGTAAACTTAAATGCGTTAAGAGTTTTGTTCAGGATGATTTCATATCAGGTCAGATGAACTTCAGCAGTTTCCATATGCTGATGGATAATATGCGCAGCGTAAAATCAGCCAACTGCTTTATGAGAATTAGATTAGATTGAAGATCATAGAAAAAAAGTGGAAGACTTGTCAAACTTGCAAAAAAAAAAAAAGTATACTAAACCTATATAACACAAAAATGAATAAATGACCAAACTGAACTGCCACTAATTGCAATCACCTGTTGAACTAATGGATGTCGCATAGATTCGCAGATAACGTGGGTCACTCGATCGCTGTTCACATTATTGTAAGCCCGTACACCAAATTCGATTTCACCACCATGTAATCTAACAACGGCACCTATTTCCTGCACATCTAAACGATCCACCAACACTTTTTCATGCTCAATGACCACGAAGAAACAACCGACAAGGCACATGTCTGACTGCACTGTAATTTTTGGACGTTGAAATACATAATTGTATTCTTATGACCAGAAAAATAATTTTCAAACTTTCAAATGTGGAATCTAAAATTGATTAGAACATGTTAAAAGTAGTACCACTTCCAGCAACATTTGGATCGTGTCCGTAGAAAGGTGTCGTTTGCTGCACCATACGGATATGAGAACTCACAGCAGGACTACTACTTGGTTGCATATCCACTGAAAAGGAGCACATTGACTCCATTAAAAACTGAATGGATATAAGTGCAAAAAAGACAAGATTCCAGGAAAATAAACTCTTAATCCTTTAAAAAAGTTTTGGAAAAACGTATTTCAAAAAAAAAATTAAGGATGAATAAGTTGGTTCTGCAAAAATTAAAGCAAGTGAAAAAACATCCAATGCTTTGGAAAATAATATAGAATCCATAGAAAGTGTTAGGAAAAAAAGTGATAAAATACGACGAAAATTAGCTTACTGTTTGAAATATTCCGTTGCAGTGCGGTGTTAACGGGAGGTGTCAAGCCAGTGCCAGCAGCTTGCAAGACAGCACCAGGAACTGAGGCTTGAGTTGGAGACATCAGCTGGGGTGAACGCATATCGTGACCAGATGGCGTCTGATAACATGAATTTATCGGAGCACCAGGTGCTTGGCTTTGTACTGCTCCTTGTGCTGAATATCTTGCTGTAAAATAAGCCCCTTGATGTGCAAGTCTTTAGCTAATTAATACTTTTTAAACATATCTAAATAAATTTTTCTTAACAGGAATGAAAAACTTTCCATAATTTCATTCACAAATAAAATTCAAATTTCGTTTATCATGGTGATCAAAATATATTTGATTTTCATCAAAATTTCAAGGACAGTTTTGAATTGCTGAACTTGACCTTTTTATTTTGCATTAAACATAGTTGCCCCATTCCAGCATCTGATTTTTTCCTAAGAAAGAGGGAGGAATAACTGACTACTCTATGACACAAGCATTCACTCAAAGATGCATCAGTGTGTATTTCATTTTCCATTTTACAAATATTCTTTTGCCACTTTGTGTAGAGAGTAGACTATGTAATTTCAAGTCTTATTATCCACTGCAAAAAAGTATTCTATCTTAAAGTACTTTTATTCATGCTTCCTTTTATCCAACAATTTCTCCACTGGTGAATTCATCACTCCAACAAACGCGGAAAAGCTTTCATAGGAATGCAAAAAAAATTTGTTTTTTTTTTGAAGGTAATAGTCATGCAAAAAAAAAAATGCAAAAAAAAAAAAAAAAAAAAAATTTTGTTTTTTTGAAAGCATTATTTTGAAGGTAATAGTCACAAATCCCAATAGAAAGCTCAAGAAACAGATATATCCGAAGATTTGTAGTTGCAACTACTTTTATACACAATATGTTGAACTTTGGAATTTTTATGAACTGCACAGCACATGTTGACTTTATTTATTTTTTATACATCTAAGAGTGTATATATCCGATTTTTCGGATGTATATGTTGACTTTATTTATATTTATACTATACTGTAAATATATCCGATTTTTATATAGCTAAGTGTATTTCTTATACAGTTTTTATTACAGTATTGCTAAATCACTAATTCTATCAGTGAACTCACTTTCTCGATGTTAAAAAGAATAATCCGAAAATCCAGAATTTATATTCAACATTAATGATAATAGCATACCAACGGGTGAATACTGCTGAGGCTGCAAATTTGATTGCTGATTAGCTGGCGTTGAATTTGGAGCTGGATACACTGCAAAACGTGAGGTATTAAGTCAAAAAGCAAATATAATTTTTTACAAAAATTACTTTACTTCATCAAAGTTATCAAAGCATTACTCCACAACTTCCCATTGATCCACTTAAAATTTTTATCAGCATAATAGAAAAAAGCTGGCAAATCCAACATAATAGGTAGATTTGCATTTCACTAATCTACAAATAACATTTGACTAAGTAAACATTTAAATAAATAACTAATAACGACAATAGCAATATAATAATAACAATTACTACCATTAATAGTAGTAATAGTAATGATTTAATTATTATTATTATTATTATTATTATTATTATTATTATTATTATTATTATTATTAACAATAATGATAATAAATGACAATAATAATACTTCGTTTTCATTTCATAAAGAAAATTGTAAAAGGATATCTTTCTTTTATAACGTCATTAATATCAGTAACGAAAAGAAAGTGCTGCACGAAGCTCAAACGTGAATTTATTTGTATGGAACGACAAGTTCTTTGCTACTAAAAATTGAAATGAGAAAGTAAAATAATCCAGATGAGGTTAAACAAATTGACGAAAGAGAAATGCTGTAGGTATATGTTGGGAGAGAAAGAAGGGCAAAATCAATTAAGGCACTTGTTAGAAGCGATCAAATGGCGCATCTTATCCTTCATTCACCTAGAAATAATAAATCAGGTGTCGAATCCACTCATGCGCAGATATTTCTTTTGTGCTGCAGGACGACGAAGGCCTATGTGCCTTCACTCAATGTCTTACTGTCACGCATAAAATTCACGGAGTTCTTCAGAAGTCCGTGAGTATTGAGTTCACCACATAAATACTGTGGGATCGTAAAATAATGAAATTATCACCGACTATTGAGAATTTGATAAATGACTTGAAGTACCATCGTATATATTCAAGTATTTTCACTAACTGTTCAAATTTTGTCTTCAAAGTGTTAGAAAGATTTGGATGAGAAAGAATTAGAAAAAAAGATTTGAATTTTATATATCGTGCATTATCATATTTACCATTTATTCGAATTTCTTGTACTGCAGGCATTTGTTCTGAGACCATCGCTTAAAGAGTAGCACCTTAAGAGCTTCTTTTCAAGAATCGTTTATCTATATCTTTTAGTCATGTTACACTACCACTTTTTATTTCTTTAAGCTTGTGAGCTTCCAATACACTGTGAAATCACTTCGAAACATGTGAATGAACAAACTACTCGCTTTTTTGTTTAATAATACAAGTCTTATTTATCTTCCTTTTGTTACAATATTATTTGTTTTCTCCTTTATTTAAGAGTGAAAAGAGTAGAAAAATCCAAGAAAAAAAAATATTGACCAGTTAAAGAAGAACAGACATGAAAGATTTTCGTGACATGAAAGATTCACGAAAATAGGAAAGATGAATGAAATAGTAATGGGAAAGAAATGAAAGATTGGAGCAGGATAAAAATCACTTAATAAGGTACGAGAGACCTTAATAAAAACATTTCTATCGTGGAAATGAGGGATGATAGAGAAAGGTCGTTTTCACAATAGCAGATGGCCGCGGGAACCTTAATGAATAAAGAAATGATCGTAAGTCATTCTCGAAACAACCCTTATTTGTAGTCAATCACTAATATCACTACTGCTAAAAAGGATATATACAAATGCAATCACTAGATTATTTTGATTTTTAGATAAGAAAACGATCGAATAAAAAAATATTCTCAGAAAAATCAAAAAATCCTAGTCATATTATTATATTAGTTTTTACATGCTTCACAGTTTAACATGAATTCGTAGTTGTAATAAGCGTGAATTAAAACACACCATTTGTGTGGAAATATGAAAACATTCAAGCTTTCAGTGGTGAAACAAAAATGGTGTGAATGAGGAAGGAAATGAAATGAAGGTGGGAGAAAGAAAGTGAAGAGTTGAAAAAATTGATATTACAAAGAAGCTGGATGATGCGCTCACTTATTGCAAAGCTGTCGTTAAATATAATATTTGTTAAATAGTGAAACCGATTGAAAACGAACATGGAAATTTAGAAGAACGAAACGACAGAAACTTCATTATTCTGCAATAACAAACGCATGAAGTTCTCATACTAGCTGTTATCAATTACATGTACGTTACACTATACGTTTACTCTAAACAGTTTAACATATCAGCACCTTCACACAGAAAAGCTACACAGTTCCATTGTGATTTTCATTATAGTATCACCAGCATATCAACAACTCTTGACAGGAGTACTCTGCATTTAAAATTTTAAAATCTTAATGAAACGCAGCCCTCAAGTATGCTGTTAAGGAAAAGTGTTGTGAAGTGAATCGAAAAAGATTGTACTGCCGTAATGGAAACGACGTTTAATGAAATTACAAGAAAAAGTTAGAAACCTAAGAATAAACGTTTGAAGATTCAATGAATTTTTGTCCTATTTGAGGAATCCTGCAGCAAGCACTGAATATTAGATTTAATGCTCTACTTAAATTTTAAGTATTCCAGCTTAAGATTGTACAGATTCAATCTTGTGACATTTGGCAGTAAAACAAACAATCAGCAGCGAATAGGAAATAATTTATTCATGTGAAGCGAATAAAATAAGTGAATAGGAATAGTATATTGGAGGACCGAAAGAGAAAAATGAGTCTAGGCTAGATTTGGAACCGAGAAAAGAGAAGTAGCAACGGCAGTCATCGGCGGAATGGAGCAACAAAGAGAGGTTATGGAGCTGATGTATAGCTTGAAGGCATTTTAAGAGGCAATTTTATTGCCTTAAAACACACACTACTCCGATTGTAACGAGCTTTTTAGTTGGCATCGGTGTCAGAGTACTGAAAAGAAAGAAGGTGAAGACGACAGGAAGTTATCAAACGGATTCCAGTATTGAAATACACTAAATATATATAAATATTCAGCACAACAACCAGACAATTAATTGGCCTTTTAATTCTCACTCACTTACTCATTGTTGTCTCATTCCAGGAAAAAAGTATGCAGAAATTTATTCACTCACTATTGATTTCTGACATCAAGTGTACTGTGTCCCTATATATATATATATATATTTGAAGCATTATAGATTTTTTTAAAAAACACGATGACAGTTGATTTCAACTTCTTAAACAACCAAGGATGTAAACTTCTCGAAGCAGAGAATATAATTACTAACACCAATTTCTCTTTTCGAAAATGTGAGAAGTTTACCCAAATATCATCTTTGAAGTAGAACTAATCAATAACTTTGTGAAAACCTACAGTTAAATTTTCGAATTACGAGAAACTAAATGATAACAAATGGTAATGAATAAGTAACAAATTTAATAGCTCAATATCACAATCAAACAGGTTTTATACCAAAACAAAATGCTCCTTTCTATACGAAGCAGATACAGCGAATGCTTGTGGATCAAACGAACGGAATGTAATTTTTAGTTTATGAAAATATCTTGATGAATATCGCATCAGTAAATTAGAAACATAACATGCAACTGCTGCAGCTGCAATATTCACGGTGATACACTTCCCTCTAACTTTTTTTTGTTCAGAATAACTGACAATAAACAATCATAAATCACAATTGTCAATTAGAAATTAGCACTATTAACTTTAACATCATGTAACTGAATAATATACCCTTTTTTCAAAAGTTCCATTGAACATATAGCAACATAATCCTAATTATCATGCTAGCTACTGTTCCTAATTTCCATGATATGCTTCCTTTTCCTGTTTACTTGTTTATTTCACCACTTCATCTTTCTTCTCATCTGCTTACTTAGCAGTGTCAACAATTAATATTTATTAGTGTACATAAATACATTTACATCTAACTATCAGCCATAACACATTTAAAGGACGGAAATAAGAAAGATTACCGACATCAACCGCCTGTCAACTAAAATGGTATGGTGTACAGAGAAATCATAAAAAGGTTAAAGATCAAAGGCGATAAAAATGTTTCCAACAATTTGTATGACCACTTCTACCTATCAGTTATGCATTAATTTTTATGCACAGCCAATACACACTGCAATAATTGTTAAACCTTTCAAATAACACAGAAAAATACAGAAATTGAAAAAGTGTGAACAATGAAAACTCAGGAAATCTCACTAATATATCTAAGAAATTAAAAGAAATCAAAAAATGTCGAGATGAAGATAGCTGCTGACTTATCAAAAGCGAATATTGTAAGAAGAGGAAAGAATGAATGAAAAGCGCATATTTCCCGACCAGTGACAGAGTTACAAATCACTTTGACAACATGGCGAAGGATCCTGAAATTCAATCTCTCCACATTCTGTATGATAAGACATATAATGACCGCCCTTACTTCTTCACTCTTCCAACCAATTCCTTCATTTCCCTCATGCAAATTTCTTCAAAGCAAATACGGTGCCTCTTTTAATCAGATGTTGTCCAGTGATATTGATCATAGACCTGTCTAATTCAGTACTCAAACCACTTTTGTCGTAAATGAAAACACTTAAGAATGAGAAGTCAAGCATACATTGCTCCAAATTGATTATTTGCTTAAAAGTCTTCAATATTCTTCAAGAGCAAAGAAGTTGAAAGTAATTCATTCATTCGTTGTTTAGTTGAGAAAACGATTACGATATTTAGTCATATAGTAACTCACGGTTCAATCCAGTATTGCACAAAAAAAGCATGCCCTTGCTTCGTTTATTTAATCATGAAATCATAACCATCCAAACTATTTCCCATTTCTTCCTTTTTATTTCCCTGCGTAAATTTTGCAGATTAAAGTAACTATTTCAAATTCATTTAATATATGCATGCTATTATATGTGACTCATCTTATTTAGAAATCAAGCAATGATTATTTGGCAAACAAATGAATAAAACTACGATTTTTCATAACCTTCATTGGTTTTCTCACACTTCGTGGGATGCTTCTCAGTTCATTACAAAATAAAAAAAAAAAGTAATTAATTTCAATATCACTAGCATAATTAATAAAATAGAACTATAAATACATATT